GGGATGGGTTTTTATTTTCAGCATTCCTCTTCATGCCCAGGAATCCTTCTGGCATTACTGAGGGCCTGAGGTGTGTAGGGAGAGTTAAATACTAGAATTGAGATATATCCTGAAGATTAGAGAAGGGAGTCTGCCCATGTCAGGTGGGGACGCGTGTTCTCCTTGGTGTGTATGTCTGTAATGCCCATTATCAGCTCTGAGAAATGCATATATTCATCAGAAGGAGAAAATATCCCTTTGTGTTTATTCTTATTTAACACTGTTTACACAGAAAATGGAGAAACACATCTTTAACCGTCATGTACTATTTAGAATTGTGTCAGTACACCATGCAGTGCTGATTCTGTAAACACCTACTCCATCGTGTGGTCTGCGGGAGCTAATGCTCTTCTGCTCTGCATGGCCACTTGTGTGCTGCCTGGAGCACACCGCAGTGTTCTGTTAAATAGCCTTTGTGACGGTTTCCAGCACTCTAAATTAAAAATCCAGAGCTGGGGAGGGGGAGAGAGAGTTGGGAGGGGGGATTCGCTGTAGCTGTAGTGCTAGGATGTCTTCCTACCTAATTGCCTTAGAACATGTGGGCTTGAATGAATCCTGTTTAATGAATATAATAGGCAAATGCATAAATCTCAAACCCCAAGCACCCAAACGGTGAAATGCACACTAATGAAGACTCTGACTTCAACAACGGCAGGTGTAGAGTTGATTTGTAAAATGTCGTGAATATAACAGGTTTAAAATGATACATTTATTAAAAGAAGCAAGTCTTCCATCTGTTGCCCTTGTATTCTCTCTCATGCTGCACACCTACTCTTCCTGCATGATATTGCAGGCTGCAGTCTCACGGCAGTTCCTTGATATAACTCTTCCTTCGAAGAAGTGCAACAATAGAGGCCAATTACCCTTTGTCTCCACTCTTATTGCAATAAGCCTGAGGAGAAAAAAAAAAAAAAGTGCACCACTTCCCCCCCCACCCCACTACCTTTTCAATTTCAAATCCTAACCCTGTTGGTAGTGCCATTTGTGGATTTCAACTCCCTGGCTTTGTGTGGACTATTATCTGGAGATTCACCTGGTACTGATCCAATGAACCAACATAACCTTACAAAGCTGAAGGGAAGAGTGTAGAGTTCTCTTTGTAATAAATCATATGCCATGAAAAAGGATTTCTTTAACTCCTTTCCTCCATTATTCTCCATATCTCACCTTGTGAAAATGGGTCTGTTAGTGAGAGACTTCGACTCACATAGTAGGAAAAACGAACAGGGGAGGGAGAACTGAATTGAAAGGAAGGCAGGGTTCCTGGAGGTTCTATAACTTGGAGATTCCAGAAAGAAGAGGCACAACTTCAAAGGAAGCAGCCCTAAAATAAACCCAGCACAGGCCTTAATACTAAGCCTTCTTCAGTTTTAGAAAGGGAGAAAGATGTTTTCTTTAAAGCAGCTGCATGAGAAATCCTTTAAACCAGTGATGAGTCAACCCCCAAGGCAAGGAGGTTCTGTCCAGTTAATTTCCCAGCAAGCTGAATGCTGGTCTGAACATCTTGGGTTTTACTGAGCCGAGCTGGTAACCTCTTGAGATCTGGCTGTCTCCCAAGTAGGGAGGGATGAATACTGCAAAATGTTTCAGTTTCCATTTCAGTTTTGAAACTCATTTGCTTTGACTGAATTTGCACTGTGTTTATGTAAATTTATAAACACTGTAATAAATTCATCTACTCATAGAAAACAGAAATTTTAGAAAAAAGGCTGAAGAACATTTGTGAAAAGTAAATTCTAATTCAGCAAGTATAATCACAGAACCTGATCTAAATGTACATTCAGTCACAAAACAGAAGCATGGTACGTGGACTGGATATCTAGCAAATCCTAAGAAGTGTAATCCAAAATTAAAACTATTGTTAATGCCTTAAATATTTTAAATTACATAGATGCCTTTTTTCCTTTTTTTTTTCCCTTTTTTTTTTTTTTTTTTAAATTGAAATGAGTATGTGACACACAACTGAGGTTTTCACAGTATGAATGAATACCACAATCAGGTAATAGCAGTTTGCTACCTTGCTTGCTGTAGAAAGCTCACCTACTTCTGATAGCACTTTTTCCTAACCTGTGAGAGTCTGTGCCAGCATTCTTATCTGGCTCTATATCAGTATTACCTGCAATATTTATAAGAGCATTCACGGTTGTGGTCATTAAACCTCATGTAATGGGGCATTATCCAGTGCCCTCATGCTGGAAATGTTCACCTGCTCCAACCCTCACCAATTTTGAAGCTGCTTTTGTCTTCCCTTGCACCTCCTGCAGCCTGTAATGTCTCCAGTTTTGCTTTCCTCCATATACCCTTTGAAAGATCATATTTAAAGTGCCCTTTGATGTAATTTAGAGGGTTTTCCCCTTGTAATTTTGTACTGAACACATTATTGACTGCACAAAAAAAATCCATATAGGCCGGTCTGGGAGGCCATTTCTAAATTTGGAGAAGACTTACAGTCACATGAGGAACCATACTGAAGACATTGACAACACTTGTAGTGTGACTAAGAGAGCTGGTCTTAAATACCGAGAAATTTTGTATTATATTGGAACATGGTTGTTTCCCATTGTAGAGCTGCTGTTTCCAGAGTATACCTACATTTCTACTTTGCCCACCCAGTGCTTGAAGCAGCAGGTAAAGAGTTAAACAATGGAAGTAGCAAGCAATATGTACTAGAAATGAGCTGGTTTAAGATTGGTAGGGGGAATTAAAAAGCAGTGAAAGATGCAATTTTTAAGTTATCCTGTTCAAGTTCTTGCATTGGAGGTATTAGCCACAGGGGAGATCACATCATCTGGGAGCAAGAGAATATAATGAATGCAGGATCTGTAATAGGCATGTGGGAGACTCTTACCGTATGTTTTGGTCATGTCCTGATATACGTGAGCTCTGGGAGACAGTTCTACATGTAATAGAGTCAATAATCAAATCTGAAGTACCAAGGAACACAACTTGATGTTTCCTTAGAGAGACCAGAAGTTGGAAACAGATGAATAAAGAGAGAATGTGGTAGATACAAATTTGTCTTTAGGCAAAAAGGAAAGAAAAAAGACTTACAAACAGGGGAAAAAGAAAATTTTACATTGTTCCCAGACTGGAAAGAAATAGTAAAGTCTACATCAGAAATTTAATTAATTGTTGTTACATTGATAAAGATGTGATATACCACATCAAAGACTAGCTAAATGATATTTGGAAATTAATTTGGGTTCCTATTAAATAGAGCTCAGAAGAGCTTCCCAAATGAATCACTTGTCTGTCAAGCATTGATTCCTTCTGTTTATAAAGTCTTCTCAACTAAAAACAACTGTTTTCAACTGGTTTTGTTGCTGGAAATGAACTGTGAGATTCATCACTAACCAGACATTCACGGCATATTCAAATATTGCAAATCGCAATGCCTTAGTATCTTACAGAATCTAGATATTGCTTATTTCTGTTCCCTATAGAGATGACTTATATAAAGTTATTTTAAAAGTCCCAAGCCCCAAATTTAATATTGACAATCTATGTTTGAATTTAAAATTTGCTTCTGGTGCTCTGAACCTTTGCCACTTTGTTGTGCTTTGGAGATGAACATAATGGAATCAAAATATACTTGTTTTCTGTGGTGTTATTAGTTTTAAATATTTGTAAACTAACTACTGTAAACTATCCCCTTAAACCTATATATGAGTTCAGAAAGTTATCCTGTAGACTGAGCATGCTGTTTTCTTGAAATTGTGCTGAATACAGTAAGACTCATGATGATCCCCCCAGTTCCTGTGTTTGTTAAATGAAAAACTCATTCCTGTGATTCTGTTCTTATACCAGTTTTATCCCAGTGGAATTTTACCAATGTGTCTGGAAGTATTTCTGATTTTATATTAATGTCTGAGTTCAAAAGAAGACAGGATTTAGTAGAACTGAGTGGAGAGAGTTTACATGAAGACCAAAAAAAAAGGAGAGAGAGAAATTTTATATATTGGGTTTTGCTCTATAGTGGGATGGAGACAACTTTCAGTTGTCTGTGGAATTGTAGCTATTGGGGTGTCCAGAGAAGAAATCCATTTGTTCTCCAGACATGCAAACAAGGAGGTAGTTTTCTCCACCACAGGGAACCATCCAGCTCATCTGTACACCAAGTCTGCGGTGATGGAGTTGCAGTGCTGGCAGCTGGGTGTTTGAACTCCCAGACAGCCTGATGGTTGGCTTGTCTAAGGCCAAGGAGCAAGAAAGCTCCTGCCAGGTTAGCTTCCTATAAGAATTTATATAGAAGAATGCCCCATTAACTGTGTGGGTTTTGGTTCATAGGGAAATATTCATTTTTGGAACTGAATTTAATCTTCCAGTTTCATCCCCTCCCTTTTCTTATCATTTCACTGCTGTCTTAGTTTTTATTTTTCATTTGTTTCAGCTGTTAGAGAAGTGAGGAATTTTATTTTCTTTTTGCCAATTAAACTTATGGGTTTTGGTGGTCAGATTCTCAGAATTTTTGTCGAAGGAGAGCGCTACTGGAGTAAATCTCTATTGTTTGCATAGGTGTGTTTAGAAGATTAAGGATGAACAGACATTCTCATAATAGACCAGGGATCAATGAAAGCTCTTCTTTTCTCAAGAAGATTTAAGGCTTAGCAGTGAGGTTGATTTTTTTTGTTTGTTTGTTTTAAATTCAGAGGAAGTTGCATCTCTGCCTGGGCTTTTATTATTTGTTTGGTCTTCCAGAGAATTCCTGAGCAAGATCTACCCAAGGTCCACTGGTCTCAAGCTCAGTTCGAGAGAACAGAAGGAATTTCAATCCCAGCGTGTAGCAGTGGCCACAGATTGTCTAGGCGATCTCTGCCTAGACAGAGCGTTTGTTTTTTCCATGAGAAGAACTTCTTTAAAAACATAAGATGATGAATATAGCCCTAATTCTGCAGCTGAATCGAGAAAAGGCTACAACCCATATATGTCTTCTGTGTGTGTTTATTTTTTTATGTGTGCAGGTGCTCCCTGATGGGGTTTGATTTAAACCGGCACTGGACAAATCCATCTCCTTGGGCTCATCCCACACTGCACGGAGTGAAACAGCTCATCATTGATATGTACAACAATCCGGTGAGTGGGGAAAGGTCATGCCAGACCAGCTACTTGCTGAGGTACCAACTCTGTCCCGCTGCGGGGTTGTACAAGATATCAGTAATTCCAACGTGGCTTAACCCAGTGGCAAACCAAAATAAGAGAGAAGTAAGCAAACACCACCCCCACTGCATGAGATCAGGGAACATTCGTGTCTGGTGTCACAGGATGCGTCAGAATGGAGAGAGCAAGTGAAATGAAGTTCAGCTCAGATTAGATATGGAATAATTCTGAAAGCAGGGCTTAAATTCAATCAAGCTGCTCTTGTGATGTCCTGAGCTGGATTCAAAACAGCAGGCCCCCCCAATTGAATTACTGAATGGCATTGATGTTTAATCCAGAGCTCTGGCAGGGGTGGCTGTGTAGCATGCAGAGCAGGAGGGGGATAATATTTGCAAATATTATACAAACACACATGCACACACTCATGCTCACTTAGAGAAGCAGAGGTGTTCTTGAAGGTGAAATCTTAGCTAATCAGAGGAGATGGATTGCAGAGAATATGGAGAAGAGGAGTGGGAGGGAGGCAGACAGCTATTGAATGTTTGACATCAAAGCGCAGAAGGATTATTGAACGTGGCACCTAAGGAAAAACTGCTCAACAAAGATGGAGAGGGGTAGGAAAAAATCACTACCATAAAAATAAGAGGAGATTTTATAGAAGATTATTTTTTCTGCATGAAATTCCTAGTATTTGTCCTTTCTTTTTACTTCCCATTATGGGGATTGCGTTTGGATCTTTAATTCGCTGAAGTTTTGCTAATTTTTTGTTTTTCTTTCTATTAGCCTGAAAAAGGACCTAGTTTGCCTTGCTAATAACAAAAGAGGATTCTTACCCCTGGCTACATCATGTGTAGGATAAAAGCTCCCTTAATTTAACTCCTGATTCTCCCACTACATCTTAATTGGACGTTTTATCTTCGAGCTGGTAGTAATACCTGTGCAGAAGGGGTTTTAGGTACAAGGAAGACAGGTTAATAGATAAGGTTCTTAAATATGGAGTGGAATCCAATTGCATGGAAGATATTTTCTTAGACTGCTAATTGTTTGACACAGAATTTGTCTTTCTATTCTGTTTGTGCAGCACCTAGCACTGTGCCTGTGACCAAGGCTCCTAAGCCCTGGAGTGTTGGAGTGATGATGATGGAAAGTAAAGAAAGGAGCTTTACAACCATCCTGGTCTTTCCTCTGTTTCCTACCCCAAATAGCAAGACAAGTTTCCTTCTAGATGATGGGGAGAGAGCATGTAGGCTGCTTTGTCTGAGAAGAAAGGGGTTTTTTTTCAAGAATAAAGAGGTCCTTAAACATTACAAGAAAGTTGGGTGTAAGGGAATGTTCCTAGCTAGTAAAACAACAAATCCTGGCACTATTAAAAGTCATTGTCAGTAAAATAAAGCGATTCTTGGGTAGGGGGGATAGTTTTCAGCTTTGCCCCATTTCTGGGAAACTTTGAAAACCTGATAGTTTCCAGCTGCCCTATGTGTGAAGAATGAATTTATTTGCTGTGGTGACTAAAGTGAAAACTCAGAAGAAATATTTGGTCAGAGATGGTCTAAAATGGGGATCTGTTTTTTTCTTCCATCTCCCTGTTTCCCAGCCTTCCCAGTGATCAACCTGAGATGAACCAGTTCCAGCCTATTTCCTTCTGAGGAAAAGAAAAAGGAGCCTTTTAAACACAAATACAACATTTCATTTCAGGGTTATTTAATATTTTTTTAAAGACTATTTAGAAATCTTTTTTTTTTCTTCTTTTATTAAACTACCAGCAAAGTTCAGGTGGCTCTTCAGAGTTTCATTTCTCAGTGAATTAGCTACTCACCAAAAAACCTTCTTGTCTGGTTTCATCATCTCCTAGTCAATACCAGCCTTTCTGACAGTTTTAGAGACCCTCAGCAATACAGTGCAGTATAAGGGATTATTGTTTTTCTCAGGCAATACAAGATTCTTATTCCCTCTGATCCAAGTAATATTTTTATGAACAGACCATATCCGAAGCGCTGGGACAAAAGGGGAAAACATGCCAGCTGCCTCAGAGACAGAGCATGGGACTGTACATGTGCCATCCTGCTTTAGCAGTGACTGGTCTTATTAAGTACTTGAGATTAAAAAAACCCAACCCCTCCCCTCCTGACAGAGTGCCAGAATACAAACCTGCTTTGAATCGCTTAGGGCTGCTGAAGATTTTAAGTGCTGTCCAGGTGCAGAGTGTAACTTGGAGAGGAGTAACATGATAGACGGTTGGCTGCATGCCTAGGGGAAGCAGTTGCAGGGGGTCTGTTGTCAAACTGCGACAGATCAGGGATTATGCATCTGAACACATCTATTTCTGCCACCCTCTCCTCACCTGCAGTCTCCGAACACTGGGGTATATGAAATGAAATAAGTAACATCCCTTGCAAAATAATGTAATAAAAAATAACCTTCATCCCTCCCGTTCTAGTCGAGATCTGCTGTGAGGAGCTGCCTACAGGAGATTGGAGTGTTTAAAGCAGAGGAAGTTTGGCTTCATGTCGCTATTGCAGAACGGCTCAGTGCCGGCCTTTTAGATGTATTCATTCCTTTAAATCATTGAAGGAAAATTAGCTGCCATAAGAGCATAAAACCACATATTACATATTGCTGTTTGGGAGGATTTTTCTTTTGCTGCTGCAGTATGGAAGATAAGCTGTTTTCCTTTGAAAAAAAAAGTTTATTCTGGAGGGGGGAGGATGAGTGACACAGAAATTGGAAGTGGGTATGAGACGCACACACAATGCCATAGCTACAGTGGTTCCAGCACTGAGTGGTCCAAGAGTAAGTGTTCACTGTAGCTGCTTTATGAAAACAAATCAAAGCACCTGTGGTTCCCTGTTCTTCCAGGTTTCACGAAGTGTGCTTATTCTATTTTTAAAGTGTTTCAAAGTCCATAATGACCATATCATCTTTAGGAGGGAGAGGATGGGTCAAGTAATCAGCAATACCTATTCATTTGAGATAGATAATTTAAGATGCTTGGGATCAGATTATTTCATGTCATTCACCAAGATTTGATAAATCCACTGTATCATCACTACACCTTCCTTCCCCAAGAAAGACTGGGATAGAATATTTCTGTCATTTGCAGTTCTTAGGACTTAAAAGACAAGGAATAGGCAATGACTGACTGATTGGGAAGAATCTATTTCAAGTGATTTGCCCCCCCCCAAATGAAAATGCAGAGAGATGATGCAGTGCTCAGGGCACTCTCATTGCAACACTGTACTTTGTCTTGCATCCATCTTTCTTCTATTCTGCTTGTTTTCTACCTCCTGTTGTCATTGAAGCTGGAGTCCTACATGCAAATGATTCCTGTGTGAGATACTATGCACCTTGTGCTCTGAGCTGGTGACCTTACCAAAACAAACAAACAAGCAAACAAACAAACAAACAAAAAGCCCCATACCAACACCAACAAAAAATGTCCACAACCACAAAAAACCCACCCACGTGGGGTGTGCTCATTAATAATCATCTCTTTTGTCATACAGACAAAAGTCTTAAATTATTTCTGCATAGGCAACATTTTTGTTTCCATCCCTGACTCTGGAGTGCTTGATGTTACAGCCTTTACATATTTTTAATATTATCCTGGGTGAAAGTTTTCATTATTCAAAGCAAAACATACAGCTGAAATGAAGTCCCAGAGAGCTGAAATCTGAGTCATCTGCTGGGCTGGAACCTTTAAATCCACCACACAGACATCTGCCACAAGAGCTGATGAATTAACTGATAGAAGATGGCAATCTGGTTGCTATTGCTGTGGACTGGCATGAGGGAGGGAGACACTTTCCCTGTGGGCTTTGAGGGTATCTGCTGACAACAGAATTAATAATAAGAAAGGATGAGTAAACATAATACTGCAGTCATGAGGGGGGACATATTTAAGATAGAATGATACCTTTTATACTTTTTGAGAAGGTTTTTTATGATCTCGTGAGCAGGCTTAGACTTCAACAAAAGCATACATTTCTGATCTTTCTGTCTCTGAGGAGGCTTTGGTTTTGACCCAGGTAGGCTTGGGTGTGCAAGCAGTAAGACTACAGATGAATTAACATTTGTCTGATAAGTCAGTGTAACTCTGGATTCTTCAGCAGATGATTACATTCCTCTCTATACAGAGAACATATCCACCTTATTCCAAACATACTGAACACAGACCCTTTTGGTTCTGTGTCATCATCTACTTCTAGACCCTTCTTTGGAGGCAGATGGATGTCCTTCACTAGGGTTGCTTCCCTTTCAGCACATTATGCACCTTCATTACTGCAGGAAGACAGTGGAGAGAGCTTGGCCTGGGGAAAAGACCTGAGCTGATCTCTGAGTTCCAGCTTTCTGTTTTCTCTGCTGGTAAACCCAGATACAAGAAAGCAGGTGAGGTTGAATGTTGAGTGCTGTGGGAAGCAAGTTAATGTAGGTAGTTGAAGGGAAACATATTCTCTCCGTGATAATCTGTAACTCATTAGAGTTGATGGTATTACTCAGCTAAGTGGTTTCTCTAGGTTTTCCCATCATCTGTGTTCACAGATTTTCTTTGCACCTTCTGTTTCTCCTATTGTGGTACTGAGCTCTGTTCATCCCTTTCAAGAGATTACACATGTTCTTACCACACCAGACCGCTCCCCATCCCTTTCAAAGATGCAATTCAGATGTTAGTGCTGGACATAGACCTGTAGTCGCTGCCCTTCTTTATGCTGCTCTGGCTGATCACCGTTGCCTTCAGACACTGCTTAGAGTGGCAACAGTCAGTGCAATTGTTAGCTTACTTCTTTCCTAGGCCTTCAGTAGCAGCATCTGTAGTGTACTAACAAGGACAGTGGTTTTGACTGTGCAGGAGTCATAATCAAAGTGTGGTGGTGTGGGAGAGCTCCATGTGCTCTACATTCAACCCCAACTTTCTTCATTATCCTGAACTTCTGTAGCCATGGAAATCAGGATCTTTTTCTGGTTATAAGGGCAGTGCC